CCACAACCTCGTCACCCACACGCTAGTACGCACAGCACACAGGTCGACACACACGCACACACACACACACTCACTCACTCACTCACTCACTCACTCACTCACTCACTCACTCACTCACTCACTCACTCACTCACACTCACACGCACGCAAGCATCCCCCTCCCATCCCCCCTCCACTCCTGTGGGCGCACCTCTTCGGCTAGGCGAGGGGGGATGCCGATGGCATACACAAGGTTGCGCTGCACAACGCGGATGTTGATGAGCGACTTCCTGCTCTCAATCTCCTTCTGCCGCTGCTCGTGCTTGCGCTGCTTCTCGGCCTCCTTCAGCCTTGGTGGTGTCATGTTGATGGCGGCAAATATTGTGAGCAAGAGACAATCGGGGGGCGGGAGGTGCAGCTGCTGCAGTGGCAGGTTGTGTTGCGCAAAAACGAGAGAAAACGCAGAGAGAGGGGGAGGGGGGAGACAGGGATCTCGCATGGAGTCGTGTGTACATGGTTACAGACAGCAATATTGTGCTCACCACACCACCAACAAGTAGCATCGCACACTTGCGTAAACGTGCGTACCCACGCACGCACATGGATGCGCACATACACACATACATATCACACACATCACATACATCACATACATATCACATACATCACATACGCACACAGACGCTCTCTCTCTCTCTCTCTCTCTCTCTCTCTCTCTCTCTCTCCCTCTCTCTCTCTCTCTCTCCATCGGCTAGCGTGCAGGGGCGGGCATGTGCTTGTTGAGTCGCACTGCATACTTTCTGATCTGCTCGGCGGAGACAGGGTGGTACTCTGCTGGCTCGTCGGCGTACACCTGCCGACACGCAGGGCATAAGCCATCCTTCTCCGTGCGGATCTTGTGCCAACAGAAACGACAAATCTGTCGCAGAGCAGAGCATGTGTGTGTGGGCTCGATGAGGGCACATGCATGCTCACGAGGTGGCCCGCATTCGCACACAACGCTTGGCACGCCATCGGCAGAGTGCAGAGTTGTGTCGCCCCCGCCCCAACGAACTCACACACACATACATACACACACACACATGTACACAAGCAAAGCTGTACAAGGTCGCCCTCACAACCCACTTGATAGCCACAGGGACACGGGTAGAAGCGCTGGTCATCGAGCTCCAACGGCTCCATGCACAAAGGGCACTGACACCAAGGAGAGCAAAGGGCAGTGCGTGCGAATCGGGTGCGAAAAGGATGAGCGGGCATCATTTCCAAAAAGACACCGCGCGACAGCAACAGCACCAGCGCATGCGTACGTTCGTTTCCCTCGACACCAGCCCCCTCCACATGCACATGCGCAAATGCATATGCGCAAATGCACATGCACAAGCACACGCACGCGCGCGTACATATTCCCGTATGTGTACCTCAGCCTCGCCGTCTGAATCGCTGTCCATGGCTGTGCGAATACTGCTCCGGCCGTCTCCCTCGCTCTCTCGCTCTCTCGCTCTCTCGCTCTCTCCTGCCCTCGCTTCTCCTCCTGAAGACAGCATGCAAATGTGGTTGTGTGATGTGTGGTTAGCGCCATGAACGTAACGTGCAGCGACCAAGCTGGTGAAGTGAAGCAAGAAGAGGGAACGGGAACGCGCTGCAGCGGTAACGTCAGCAGCAACGTCAGTGGCGAGAGAGCAACCCACTGCTTCCCGCCCAGACACACACGCACACACACACGCACACACGCACACAAGCACACACGCACACACGCACACACGCACGCACACACGCACGCACGCACGCACACACACACACACGCACACACACGCACACACACGCACACACAGACGACATCCATGGCCAGATGTCGAAGCACGTGTCTTCGGAAACCAGCCCAGCCCAGCCCAGCCAGCCCAGCCCAGCCCAGCCAGCCAGCCAGCCAGTAAGCCAGACATCGACCCACCACTCCCACCACCACCACTCGCAACACCAACACATCATGTCACACACACACACACACACACCACAACGCCCGCCCCAACGAAGCACCCACCGCGTGGTTCGTGTGTCCCCTCTTTTTCCGTCGCCTCGCCTGCTGGCTCTTGTGCAGTTGTTGCTTTTCTGCTCCCTGCTGCTCGTCTTCCACGTTATCCTTCTGCACAATTTTTTTTTTTTCGAGCTGCCTCACTTCCCCTGCCACTGCTCTGTAGATTTATTGCTGGAGATTTTAACTATTTTTCCTTACAGGGGAATATGGTGGATAGTGCGTGCGCTTGTCAAGAACCAAGGCACGTTTCCGTGGTCGGTGTATGTTTCGCACACAGTGGCAAGCCAAAACCGGAGTGCGCATTGGCTGAGTGCATGTGCCTTTTTCCTCTCTGACCCCCTGCTTCGCCCACCGAATACACCACCACCACCACCACCAGCCATGCAGAACCTCGAAGGCCGCCTTGTGGATCTCTACATCCCCAGGAAGTGGTGAGTACCTGCTTCTGGTCTTGGGGCCAAGGGGGGAGGCAAGGGCGTCAGTGCATGTACAGGTTTCGTGTGCGTTTGTGTTTGTGTGTGTGTGTGTGTGTGAAAGTGCGTGTTTGTGTGTGTGAAAGTGCGTTTGGTGCTGGCACGACGACGATACAACAGCGACCACGGAGGGTGGGGACCGGAGAGTGCCGACGCTCGCTCGCTGTGCCTGAATGAATGAAAGGGCCTCCAAGCAAGCAGGCAGATGGCTACCTGAACGGAGTGCGTGGCGAACATGGAGACAACGTGTACAGCGACCGCACTCCTGCAACACACACGACAGCAGTGCGCAGACGATTGATGGTGGCGCGCTGCAGTTTGTTGCACATGACCACACCAACACATGATGATGAGAAAGCCAGCATGTCGTTCGTCTTGTCGTGAGCAGAGCCAACCCAACACGTGCTTAACAAGCAGAGGGAGAACGCGCGCTGCACCAGCATTTGGCCAGATGACGTCCTTCTGTGTCACAACATCAACCACATTCAACTTTCTTCAGCTCTGTTCTCGACTTGACTCAACTCACACATGTACACGCACGCACCTACCTCTCTTTTGTTTTCGTCTTCGCTTCTTTCTCTCCCTCGCGTGCGCGTGATGTCACGGATGCAGCTCTGCCACCAACAACCTGATTGGTGCCTCCGACCACGCTTCCATCCAGGTTGACATTGCCAAGGTTGACAAGTCCACAGGTATCATGATGCCCGATGCAGTCCACTCCTACGTCTTCTGCGGCGAGGTCCGCGCCCAGGTAATTATGATCGACCACGCTATCATCGCGTGTGTGAGTGTGTGAATGTGTGGGCTGCGCTGTGTGGGTGGCTCGAGAGAAATCGACAGCACAGGCGTTCGCCGTGTGGCTGTGTTGTGTTGATTGTCAAACACTGTTTCTGTTACTCATGTTTTGTCATGTGTTGCTGCTCCTCCTGCTCCACCTCAGGGCGAGACAGACGATTCTCTCAACCGGTTGGCGACCCAGGACGGCATCCTCAAGAAGTACGTGATTGTGTTCATGCATGGGTGCTATGTTTGTTGGTTGGCGGTGATGCAGCCCCTGATCCTTTGCTGTTGTTGTTGTTGTTGTTTGCTCTGCTGCTGTTGTTGTTGTTGTTGTTGTTGTTGTTGTTGTTGTTGTTGTTGTTTGCTCCCTGTGTTCAATTCAAAGTGCCACCTTTCGCGTGCTCACAAACACATCCCACACACCGACTGCTGTGTTTTGACACGTCACTCGTCCTTCCCCTCTTCTTCGACTCTTTGTTGTGGTTTTTTTTTTTTTTTTGCAGCGTGTACGAGAAGAACTAAGCAGCGTCGGATGCATGTGTCGTTGTGTTGATGGTTGAAGCTGATGATGGTCTTGATGATGTTGGTGTGACGTGTGTGCTGATCTCGCAATGTCCTCGCTGGATTGCTTGGCCAATGTTGAGAGCCAGTAAACACGGCGCGCTCCACAAACGACCATGATTTGGCATCCCGACACGAAGCAGACGCACACTTGAGACAACACTGTAGTCTGGGCAGTTGTTTCTTCCACAACACCGCGCCACTCTGCTTTGTGTGCGTGTGTGTTTGCTGTGCGCTTTCGTGATGGTGGCAGGTGTTGGTTGTACTGTGGGCACCTAAGCAAACAGGTGAACAAAACAAGCAAGAAAGGGGTGACAGCAATGTCGGGCCACAAGCCCAATCACTCATGTCAAATCGATCAACTCACACACAAGCAAGCAAGCACGTTGAGGTTGGAAGAGACACAAGGGCGTGCGTGGCGACGCTGTTTTGTGTGACGTGACATGACATGACAACAGAGACGACCAGCAAGGAGTTCGCAGGAAGGGGGAGAGAGAAACAAACAAGGAATGGAACGAATGAAGAGCGTGGAAAGAAACGCAGAAGAGACAAAGGCGCTGCGATGAGAGGCGCGCACGCCTGGCACGCTTGGCACACGCTGCCCGCTAGAGGAGCTGGCCACGGCAGCCCTCGCCGTGGCACGGCGGGAACGGGTACACATCGGGGATGATGTTGACCTGGCTGGTAAACACGTGCGGCACAACGCCAACCTCCGCCCGAAACTGGACCTGTAGATTGGGCAAATTGGGCCAGGATGGGCGTATGCGGGAACGGGGTTGAAGGTTAGAACGCAACAGCAAGGCTTGAAAGTGAACACAGCAGCACAGCCAACCTCATGGTACCACAAGTCACATGAAAACAAACACTTGATGTAACACGTGTGTGCACACTTTCACAATCAAACATACAATCACGCGTATCCACACACACACACACACACACACACACACACACACACACACACACACATCCATTCACAAACAAATTCACACACACCCATGCACAAACACACACACACACAACTTACGTCGAGGAGGAAGGCGCGCCAGCCGGCGGGCGGGTTGTCAAAGTGCACCTCATAGTGGGTGTCATCAATCTTGGTGGCAGCCTCCTTTTGCCAGAGCACGGGCTGGATGCACTCGCCAGAGACCTTGATGTACGGGCAGTTCTCGCCGCCGATGATGAGGCGCCAGTCGCGGCGCGTGTGGTTGAGCGTGTCGGCCCAGCGCACAGTCACGCGTGACGGCTTCTCGGACGTGGTGAGCTTGATGCTGCCGCCAGTGCTGCTGTTGCTCATGGTCCAGGTCATGGAGGGGCGTGGCTTGTCGGCAAGCACGTCGTGCGCAAAGGACGAGATGCCCTCAATCACCTCGACCAGGTTGGTGGCCAGCGAGTGCTCTGCGTTGTGCACCATGAGCAGGTGCGTCTCGCCCTTGAGCTTGCCCCACCAGAACCAGTTGTCGTCGTTCATGAAGAACTCGTCCCCGGTGGAGTCGATCACCAGCTTGGGCATGGTCAGGCGATCCGCATACGAGAGCGGGTCGATGATGGCGGTCATCTTGGGGAAGTTGGGGTCGTCCAGGCGCGCCGTGAAGTTCATGTTGTAGTAGTCCTTGAGGGCAAAGCTCCACCCGCCGTACGCCTGCCAGAAGTGGTGGATGTTGGGCACCATGTTCAGCATGTCCATGACAATAGGGATGGCGCCAATCACGCGCTTGTCGACGGCAGCGGTGGTCCACGTTGTCCAGCCGCGCTTGGAGGCGCCCGCAACAACATACTCCGTGACGTTCATGCCACGCAGCTTCTGCAGGAAGGCGGTGGTGGTGTCCATGCAGCGAACGGCGGCCTTGGTCATGGGCAGGCGCAGCAGCCACTCGGACTCGTCTGGGTGGTCGAGGAAGTGGTTCCACGTGTAGGCGATGATGGCGTCCTCCGTGCGGCGCTTGGGCGGCTGCTCGGCCTTGAAGTAGATGGGCTCGTTGGGCACTTGGAAGAGAACAGAGCAGGCAGAGCCCGTGGTCACGGCCACCGCGGCGCACAACAGAATGTCCTCGCCACCGCCATCGGGGACGCTGCCCGTGTTGCTCCCGCCTGCAGATGCAATGAGTGGGAAAGTGTGTGTGTGAATGTGTATGTGTGTGTGTGTGAATGTGTGTGAATGTGTGTGTGTGTGAATGTGTGTGTGTGTGAATGTGTGTGTGTGAATGTGTATGTGTGTGTGTGAATGTTGGACGAGGGCAGTGCAGTGGCGTGCGTTGGTGTGGACGCTACTGATTGAATGCGCGAACGATCGAGGTCGTGCGCGGCTGGGCTGGTAAGTCCGCCACGAAGGCCTCACCACACATGAAGCCTCAACTGCTCTCACTTTGACACACATGCACACATGCACGCACCTGTGATGTACATGAAGGCGCGCTTGTGGTAGTTGAGCTCATCGGGGACAACAACGGCAATCTGTGTTGTGGAAACAGCCGCAATGGCAAAGGTGAGGACATGTACAAGCGCTTATAACGGCAGCAGAAAAAAGTGTGTGTGTGTGTGTGTTCAAGTGTGCTCGTGTGTCAGTGTGTGTGTGTGTGTGTTCGTACGTTCGTACCACACTGTGTGTGTGTCTCATGGCAGGCACAGCAGCGATCGCGCAACATGCACAGCTTTGTGGATGCAACTCACGTAATGCCACCAGATGCTCTGGGAGACCTCCTTCTCGGAGAGCCACTGCTGGGAGGTCATGTTCAAGACATAGCCAGTGTAACCAGGGCCATGGAACGTGCTGTTGGGCTGCACATGTGTGTGTGCATGCGTGTATGGATATGTGTGCGTGTGTGTGTGTGTGTGTATGCATGTGTGCATGGATGTATGGATGTGTGCGTGTGTGTAGTGTGAGGTTCCAAGGTATGGCACACAGAGCAATTGTATTGTATGCAAAGCAATCACAGCCCTCACATGGCTATGACACCAGCTGAGCAACGCACCACTTGGGCCCAGGTGTAGTGGGAATCGGGCTTGTTGACGTATTTGTCCAGAGGCGACTCATCGCCGGGCGCAGCCCGAGCGTACGGGTTGGCCAGCGCCGTGCCCTGAAATTAAAGGATGAGGTGTTGAGAGAGAGGGGAAAGAAGGGTAGGGGAAAGAGGGGAAAGAGAGAGGAGAGAGAGAGAGAGAAAGACAAAGAGAGAGAGACACACACACACAACACACCACAACATAGCGCAGGTGAGTGGATGATCTGATTGATGGCGCGTGTCTCCTCAACACAACACAACACAACACAACACGAATCAAGCAAGCACTATGAGGCAGCACATGATGCCAACATCACCAATCCAAATCCACTCTTACACACATACAGACACCACACCCACATTAAGCCATACACACACACATGCACACACGGGCACGCATGCAAGATGCGCACCGCTGCGAGGCCAACGACAAGCAGGGCTGCCAGAGCAGCGACACCACCAGTGATCTGCATGGTGGCGGAACGAGAAGAAGCAAAGCAGCACAACACCCAAACAAACAACAACAAGCAAGGGGATATCGTCGTGGTGGGAAGAAATGTGTGGCTGCTCACATCAGTGTGTTGTTCTGCTGCTGTGCTTCTTCTCCCTCCAAAACAAGGATCGTTCGCAAAATTTCTCCGCTCCTTTTTATGGTGTCAAATACAGTGGAAGGACTCAAAACGAAACTGAAAGGATGGTGGCGAAAGCTGACACACCTGCGTATGATTGCGTGTAGCGCGTGACGATTCTCAATGCAAGCAAAGGCACTGCAAGCAAGCGAGGTTGCGTTTTGTGTCTTGCGTTGGCAACAAAGTGCGCGCTTTGTTGTTTGTCAGGGGTGGGGTCGTGTCAACAAATGTCAGTCAATGGCAGCAGCCACAAACCACAAGCCACAGACAGCAGGCGTACTGCTCTTTGCCTCTCGATCTCGTATGACGTTGTGACTGAAGTGGAGTTGGGTGCGCCGACTTTCTTTCGAATGGGTGGTCCTTCGTTGCTTCTTTTTTTTTTTCGCGCCCTGCTGCCATAACAAACCACCCAAACAACCTACGCAGACAAGACCAGACGAACCAACCAACCCACAAGGCACGAAGCCAGCAGTGCAAGAGGCACACGGTGGCCCACAGCAACCGAGCCACCAGCCAGACCACCAACCAACCAGACATTCCACACGAGCGGATAGCTGACGGAAGCAGGACCGACAACTGACTGGCTGACTGGCTGACAGACAGCAGCTGGCCAGCAGCAACCAACCACGGCACTTCTTCAGCACACAAGGACTTGACAACGAAAACTGCTGCAGCACCCACCAAAGTGCAGGCAGCCCAGACACACCGACCACCTCCTGAACAACCAACCCTCCATTCACCCTCATATGAAATCCACCAAACTATACGTGCGTGAGCACACCTAACCTTGCACCAACCAACACCAATCACAGCACTTGCCACAGCCACCACTTCGTGGATCGGTGTTTCCTTCTCTTGCTTTGGCTTCTTTTCATTTCCTTCTTCTCCTTGTTTCTCCTTGGACCGCTGCCACGACGGTTACGTTGCACGCCAACGCAGACATGACACGAAGATCAACACCAAATGCAGCCGCGGTGCTGGCTGCCACACTTTGCTTGACGGCTACTGTTGCAGTGCACCTCGCATCAGCAGCAGGTCAGCCACCTCATAGACACGCATACACACTCGCTCGCTTGTGTGCGCACACGTACACGCAAACACAGTCTCTCTCTCTCACACTCACACACTCGCACACACACACACTCACTCACTCACACGAACGCATGCAGATGTTGGCTACTGCCCAGCCATCAAGATTGATGCGCAGAGCGAGATGAGGCACGCAACAAGCGCAGGCGCGCGCATCTTGGTGCCTTGCCCCGGCGGCAGCAGCCAAGGCGCCCTCGAGCTCATTTGCTGTGGTCCGAGTGCCGCAGGCTACTGGGACGGCGCCGGCGATGTGTGCGACACCACCCACTACAACCGCTGGATGCAGCCCGCACAGGACACGTGCGTGTCACCGCTCGTCACCGCCCTGGAGGCGCAGGTCAACCGGCCATCAACCCTCGGCGGCGTCAAGAACACCCGCGTGCAACAAGTGCATGCGGGCTTGGAAGAGCTCCTGCAACTCCTTAACACCAAGACCCTGCGCCTTGGCCAGCGCGACATGCCCGCTGTTGTTCGCATCGCCCTTGCCGCTGTTCAGTTGCAGCACCGGCAGCAGCGCGTGCATCCGCAGCGACAGGCCAGTGTCGAGAAGCAGCAGCAGCGCCTCGCCCGCATTTTTGCTGTCCTGCAACACATCGTGCAGAGCCGCATCAAGACCGCACGCAACTTCTCCCAACAGGACCTGGCGCGCACGCTGGAATTGCTTGCAGGCATCCACACGTTCTTGCCCACACTGCCATCCCGCCTCACAACACCAGCGCTGCTGTTCGATGCCACGAGAACGGTCCTCACTACAACTGTTGGCCCTGCTCCCATCTCCTGCAACGACTTGGATTCCGCCACCTTCCACATCACCTGGTCCCAGCAACAGCAGCAGCAGGACGCCAATGCTGATGGTGACAACACCCTCGCTGGAGACATCACAGCAACCACAGCTCCAGCCACGGGAGATGACAGCGACCGCGAAGGCAACAAGACTAGCAACGATGATGACGGTGAAGATGAGGACGTGCAGACGGGCACGCCGCCACCAGCACCACGCCTCACAGCACGTGTCAAAGCAGCCAGTGCTGACGTGTGCGTGCACGCCGCGGCGCTGTTGGCTGCGTCATCATCAGGAAGCGCCCGCACCACAACCATGCTCGCCCCAACGGTCACCATGCTGCAAGAGGCCTGGTCCCTCCTTCCCGCATCAAGCGCAGGCGTTGGTGTCACACCCACCGTGTCTGTTGCGTTTGCAGCAGACAAGGCTGTCCTTGATGGCGATGTCACTGTTGCTCTTCCCATCATTGCAGGCCGCCGCTTCAAGTATGCTGCAACCCAGCGCTTCTGCCCGCACCAGCGTGGCACGCAAGAAGGTGTGCGTGCGTGTGTGCGTGCGTGTATGTTGATACCTGTGTGTGTGTGTGTGTGTGTGTGAATGCCGGTGTGCACACGCGTGTCCACTGTATGTCACACACGCATCACGGCACTCACGCACAAACACGTACGCACACT